CACTGACAATCACTAGTCACTTCTGAAAATTTAGGCCAGCGCCATTTAAAATAGCAATTTCTAAAACTCCCCCTGCCCCAACAACTATAAATTATTTGTTTACTAATATCAATGTCAGAATACAGGATCAGAATCTGCAACCCTTGCTTCCTCTAAGTAGCACTTACTCATGTGAGTAGTCCAGTTTACTTCAATGGAACTTCTTATGTGAATAAGGGCTATTTAGTGGGAGCAAGGGTTGTAGCATCTGATCTTTACTGAACACAGAACAGCTGAATGTTCACTGATTCAAAATAAATAAAAAAATACCTACAACTTCTACAATTCTGGTATTAACCAGGTCATTGCCAATATCATATGAAATGTTGCCATTTCATTATTTGTCACTTTCCATGCAGATATTCTGGAGGCTGATATTCATTTCTGCAACATGATAAATGTCTATAGCACCTTCCATTGGGGATCTCAAAGCACTTTACAAACCCTACTTAATCTTCACAATAGCTTGCAAGATTAGGTGAACATTATCTCCATTTAACAAACAGGGACAATCTTGCAAGTTATTGTGAAGATTAAGTAGTGTTTGTATAGTGCTTTGAGATCCCCAATGCTATAGACATTTATCATGTTGCAGAAATGAATATTAGCCTCCAGAATATCTGCATGGAAAGTGACAAATAATGAATCAATGACATTGTGCCAACTGTGGTGTTGAATTTGTCCTGAAAGTAGATAGGCCTTTGCTGTGGTGGAGTTTAGCACTGTCCACATAAATTCTACCCTTTGGGTAGGTAGTAATACCAACTTTTCTTTTTGGGACGCAAAGTCCTAGAAAGGAAAACAAATGGAGTATCTGGTGAATAGATTCAGTCACCTGTTGTGGACATGTCCCTTGAATTAGCCAATCATCCCAGTAGGGGTAAATTTGGACTCTCTGTTTTCCCAGGCAAGCTTCCACTACCAATAGTTGTTTGATAAATATCATCAGTGCTGTTGATAGCCCAAAGGGCAGAACTCTATTTATAATAGGAATTGCCCACCTGAACCTTAGGTATTTTCTATGAGCAGGATCAATTGCTATATGAAAACAGGGCTTCTGGAGGTCAGAGCTATGTACCAGTCCTGTGGATCTAGGGATGGAATTATAGAAACCACAATTACCACCCTGAACTTGAATCTGCAGATGAAGGTGTTTCATGTCCATAATAGGGTGCCAGTCTCACTTTTGCTTTGGAATTAGAAAGTAACCTTCCCCTATATTCTTGAGGCACTTCTTCGACTACTCTGAGACTTGGAGGTGATTGCACTTCTTGATGTAATATGAAAAGGGACAGAGAGATCTGCAATTGTATGGAATACCCCATCTCTATGATCTCTAGAAACTCTATAGCTGTGATACTCAGACCTCAGTGGTTCAGGAGACAAATAAGTGATCCCATTACCCAAAAAAGCCACAGTAGTGTAAATTCATTGTTACATTTACTATAGTTCAATATATATTCATATTTAAACAGTACGATGGGGAGATTATATATAATTCTCACAGCAAAATGACTGACCAAGCATTATTATTTTATCAACTACAATTGGTTAGTAACATAGTAAAAGCATCCTGATTGGTTAATAACTTAGATCAGTTAATATTTAAATCATACAGTGTTTTAATATCATGTGCTGCAAAGAGCCTCAGGAGACACATTAAAGAGCCACTTGCTTGCAAGCCTCAGTCTGAGTATCACTGATCTATAGTGATAAGGTTCCAGGCCCCACAAAAATAAAACTAATGGTTCCCAAAGAGGGGATGAGGGGTGGGTAGGTAATGGAAGAATAATGGAGAAGATGTACAATAAGAGTCAAATAAGAGTACCAATAAGAGTCAAATTTATTTCCTTGATGTTGATGCAGCAGGATGAACAGACAGCAAAGTGGAGGCTGATGGCCTCCTCCTCTAAGTCCTCTGTCTTTTCTTAGACACTTCTAATGGTCTCTGTTGTGAGTAATAGGTTTGTCTCAAATATGGTTGTGGCCTGACTTGCTTACTTCTCAATGTAGGTGTGTAAACATCTAAAGAGCTCAGTATTGCTTGAGAATCTTTTAATGAACGTAAGGCCTCATCAGTCTTTATATTAAGCAAATCATATCCCTCAAATGCAGGTTCTCTATTGCTGTTTGTACTTCTTTAGGTATTCAGGGCAATTTTAGCGAAGAGGACTTCCTCATGGCAAAAGATGTGGCCATGGATCTTGCCACTGTGTACAAAACATCAAGAGCAACCTGGAGAGAAGTGTGTGCCATGAGTCGACCCTCTGAGACAAGAGACTTGAATTTCTCTCTGTTGCCATGTGGAATTTTGTCCATGAATTTAAAAACAGTTGTCTTGATTTAAATAATCGTATTTTGCCAATAAACACTGATAACTGGCAATCAGACTGGCAGAAGAATAATTTTTGCAGCTGAATAAATCAAGTTTCTAAGGTTCTTTTTCATGGGGCATAGATTTTGGTGGTCCCTGTTGTCTGGTCCCCCTGTTACTACTAGTGACCCAGGAAGGAGATGCATATAGAACTGCTCAAATCCTCATGAGGGAACTTGATACTGTTGATCAGTCCTTTTGAATGTAGGTGTCAGCCAGATGTAAGCGTCACGTGTCTTCCTGAGGATTTTGACTGTCTCCAGCAGGCCATAATTTTTTGGCATTGCAAACTGTCCAGGCAGAGATGTATATATGCTTTATGGGATTTCTCCTGGAAAACATTCAATGGAATTTCAAGAATGTCCACCTTCCAGCATAATGATTCTTGAAATGTTTTATAATCATCAGGCTGTATGCTTGATGACAATTGTACCACAGCTTTATCAAGTGTTGAACAGGAAATGGGCAACAGTATTATCTGACAGCAGCCTGCAAATCCTCTTCCTCAGAGCCCTGATCTTTTTGGCATTCAGCAGATGGAATCGCTGTCTGAGCTACCTGCAGGGCTTTCTGATATCTGTGTGGAGAGAGGGACCTAACCCTGGATGGGGCTGCAAAAGCTAACTTCCTGGCTGTCTGTAAGCGGCTGATGCCAAATATGGCCAAGGAAGATGGTAAGGGTATGGGGCAGGAGGCCATAGGGGGAGATACCATGGGACCTTTTAGAGTACCTTTTAGAACCCCTAGGTCTAGCATTATAATAATGTGCCCCTGAATCCTTTTCAGAACCATAGGGATCAAAAGACCTGGACCTCTGGGAGTGTGTTGGCAATGCATCCCTACTATGCTCCAAAGCTTAAGAGGAGAAAGATTATTTCTCTCCTAGAGGTGGAACTGTCTTAACTGGGGTCTCAGGTAAAACTTCAGTGTGTCCCTTAGCTGGTATCGCCAAGGTAATAGGCACTGTAGTGGGGTATTAGCTGGTACTGAAGTTGTTATGTTCACCAAAGACAAAAGTGGTGATTCCAAGACAGTCAGATCACCCAGTATCAAGTAAACTGTTGGTACTAAGAATGTCACTACCACAGACAGGGTGGACAGAAGCTATCAGTACCCCAGTGGTGGGTACCAATGTTGCCGGTACCAAGAGCCTTGGTGCAGAAGGATCTGAAGAGGGGCGTATAGACTTCCCCAGTAAAAATAGCATGCGGTGAGCCTCTCTTACCTTTGTGTTCTCTTAGAGAATGACTTTCAAATGGCACACTTGTCAGGAATGTACCTTTTACTCAGGCACAATAATAGGTCCATTATTAAGCAGCATTACTATACCACAAGATGGGCAGTTTTTAAACCTAGGAGACTTTTTTTCATCCATAAGTGCTGGACCTGGTACTGGGAAAGTCTCATTAGGAAAACTAATGGAAAACAATATGGATTTTTTTTAAAAGGGAGAATAAAAGTCTAAAACTATTACTAACTGTTAACTAACAATCTAAAAGTATAACTATCATGAACTATTTACACTAGAAAGTATAAATCACACAGTGAGAGGGTTGGATACTGCCAAAGTTTTTATTCATAGGAATAGGCGGTAAGAAAGAACTGAGGGAGAGTTCGGGTCAGGCCACCCTTTATGCTCTTGGGTAGGGGAGTACTAGGCCATGAAGGGTGCAGATACAGCCCCAACTGCCACTGCTGGCCAAGAGAATCCAAACTTGAATGCATGGGGTGAATGTGCACAAAGAGTGAAATACATATGGACAAGCACTCAAAGAAGAACGCTTGTCTTTTTAAAGAGTTCTGGATTCCTCAACATAAGGTGATAATTCTTTTTAAAAAATATATTCAAAAAGAGTAAAACAATTATTTAACCAACACTTCAAAAAGGAATATTATAGTTTTTTGTAGTATAGATAATCCAGCAGTCACCAAAATTTGAAGAAATAGACATAATTCAAGCACTTTACTCTACCTAATTTGCTCCAGAGCACTTTGAAGGAGGAGGTTTAGTTTAGACAGCTCTGTTAGTTGCCTCAGGCATGATACACCATTGTAGTGAATGTAAAGGCAAGCACTCAAGACCATGTCAAATTTGAATTTACCACACTCAAATTCCAGCTGATACCCCTCTCTGGACAGAGAGAGAAAATGAAAGCACAAATACACTACTGTTTCAATGAACTGAAACAGCATATATATTACTTCCTCCAGTCAGTTACACCCCTAAACTGCCTAATTTAAACAAGTACAGCCACCAAAGAGTGTGAAAGAAAAACAGAAAGTAGAACCATTTAAACAATTTTGTAAAAAGCTAATGACAGAGAGACAAAAACAGACATCCAAACCTTTGGTTTTCCTGTCAAAACCTGCAGGAAACAAATGCTTTATACATTTATGGAGTTACCAATTAATTGGTGAGTGAGAAATATGATCTTAGTACATATTGTGTGGCAGGTGGGCTATTCAAATGTGGTTATCATCATAAACAATTAGCATGTATACATACCTTTATAAGTTCAAAACTCTTTACAAATATTCATTAAAATCCATACAAAATGCTAAACAAAAGAAAATAATTTAGACTTACCCACGTTTAATCTGCCTGTGACTTCACCATCTGAATTGCGAGCATTCACAGTCACATTATGAGCAGACTGTAGAAGTAGTGATGAGTCCTACAGTACCGAGAAAGATGTGCAGTTTTAGCAGAACAAATAGATTTCAAAACAATTTATATAATTTATCATTGCCATATATATTATTAATAAAGTAATTAAAAGAGCCTTTGCAATAGAAAACCAGCCAAAGAGTGAAGTCTCTGAATTAATATTTTCTGTTTAGAGCTCTCATTTAGTTGACAGATGTAACAAAAACCAGAAAACCTAATTATTTGAATAGGCACTCAACCCACTGATGGACAGCAGAGATGGACCCAAATTACAATCCTTGATTCAAATACCCTTTGAATTTTGGAGACATTCAGATTGGGAGCTGGTCCCCACCTCTATAATCAGTCTAACCAAAGTCCACAATCCAGCTCCCTTTCCCCCCAAATTCTTGGCTGGGATTACCTCCGACTGGCAGTTATTATCCATAAATAACTACTCCAAGTTTTCCTTCCAAATCTACCTCTTTCTGATGGTGTAGGTAGATGAGGAAGTCAATATTGTATTTTTATGACCCCACACACTTTTTTCCCCAGACTATTCCCCACTTTTGGTCACTCTAAAACAGAAAATATGGTAGATATATTTGGAAATGGCAGCATGTGGTACAAAGTGATTATCAATTTCCCAAAACATTATAATATAAAATCTTAGAGAACCACATTGAGAATAATATACCATCTTATGGGAATCAATTCATACAGTAAATATGGATTTTTCCCTCCTTGTAGGAGGAAGAAACTATTAAAACCTGATAACTGGAATGACTTGGTAAAATTTTGATAAAGTCTCCTGTTGAAATGCCATAACACTATAGGTTTGAATCATTTATTGTCTTCTTTCCAGAATCTTTTTTAAATTAAAACACAAACAAAAAACACCTTATTCAAAATACACAAACATAATTAAAAAGTGTAGTCCTAAAGTGATCAAAATCTATAACATTAGCCCAACAGATACAATTGCTGGCAATTTAGCTTTTGATAAAAGTTTAGCACTTGAGTCCTAGACTTCCTGCACTCCCACAGAAAACTGGTCATGTGAAAAACGATGAATGATGATGAAAGCTGTGTAACACTAATTTTATGATCCAAGGCTCCCACCTTGAAAACACACACAAACACACTCAACTTTAAGTGTGAGTAGTCCCACTGGGTCCAGTGTCAGGACAGAATTGCGTTTAATGTAGAAATATAACTGTGTTGTAAATAAAACAAACCCACTGAGTCAAGTTAGCCATTTTGTCAAGGTGGCATGTAATCAAGCAGGTGACAAATAATGGAGCAACAGTTATTTCACACTTCAGTGCATTAGACAATAAAACCTGAAACCAACTAACCAAAAAATAAAGGATTTAAAAAAAATCAGACCTGAAACTAAAAAACAATGGTAACTTACCTACAATAACTGTTGTTCTTCAAGATGTTTTATGCACATATACATTCCACCTTAGGTGTGTGTGTGCCCAGTGTTCTTGAGTCAGAGACTTTTGCCAGAAGTACCATGAGGGAACGCATGTGCCCCTGCTCTCCTCATGCACCCAAACAAGAGCATAAAAGGGGCATGTGTGTCACCTTCCTCTCTGTTCTGCTTGTGAAAATATTAACCAAAGTCACAGGCCAGGTGGAAGGATTGTGGAATTTATATGTGCACAACACATCTCCACAAAAAACAAACAAACAGTTACTGTAGGTAAGTAACTGTTGTTGTTTTTTTCTTCTTCAAATAATTGTACATGTATATATTCCATTTTAGGTGAATCTGTAGCAGTTCCCTTACAGGTGGTGAGGCTTTGGATCATCTGAAGAGAGACCACAACATGGATTTACTAAAGTTAGCATAGCCACAAGAGGCTTGAGTGATGGCATAATGTCTGAAAGAGGTATGTACAGATGACCACATTGCCACTTTACATATATTTGTTATGGGAACACTGATCAGAAAGGCTGATGAAGTGGACTGTGCCCTGATGGAGTGAGCTATTACTCTCACTGGAGGAAAGACTTTCACAAGATCATAGCATTGCTTGACACAGTCAGAGATCCAGTGTGATATACATTGAGTTGACACTGGTTGGCATTTGATTCTCTTGGCCTAGGCTATGAAAAGCCTATTAGAAGTTCTGAATGCATTGCTGTTGTCAAGGTAGAATGCCAAAGCTCTACGAAGCATGAAGTGTTTCCTCAGTGTTGGATGAATGAGGTGTGAGGAATAATACAGAAATTTTATCCTTATAACAAACCATATAGCAGGGGTCGACTAACAGTTTGCAGTTTGGAAACCTTTCTTACTGAAGTAATTGCCACATTTTAGTTGAGAGTGCATACCCTGAAGGTCTAAATGACATATGCATATACACTTGACGCCCAGAGTGCGTGGCCAGATCAGGTGAAACATGGAGATCCCCAGAGGCCCCAAAGATTGCAACTATAGTAATCACACATTATCAATAAAACCTACTGTGACAGACCCAGACCAGTGGGGTACAGGAGTCTGGTAGAGGGCAAATATACTGGTCACTGGATGAGTAGTTTTCTGTTCCCTGAGTGACCAGAGCAGGGGCTGCACTAGAGTAATCAGGAACCTGCTAGAACCAGTTAAGACAGGCAGGCTAATTAGGACACCTGGAGCCAATTAAGAAGAAGCTGCTAGAATCAATTAAGGCAGGCTAATCAGGGCACCTGGGTTTTAAAAAGGAGCTCACTTCAGTTTGTGGTGCGAGTGTGAGGAGCTGAGAGCAAGAGGCGTAAGGAGCTGAGAGTGAGAGGGTGTGCTGCTGGAGGACTGAGGAGCACAAGCGTTATCAGACACCAGGAGGAAGGTCCTGTGGTGAGAATAAGGAAGGTGTTTGGAGGAGGCCATGGGGAAGTAGCCCAGGGAGTTGTAGCTGTCATGCAGCTGTTACAGGAGGCACTATAGACAGCTGCAGTCCACAGGGCCCTGGGCTGGAACCCGGAGTAGAGGGTGGGCCCGGGTTCCCCCCAAACCTCCCAATTGACCTGGACTGTGGGTTCTTCCAGAGGGGAAGGTCTCTGGGCTGTTCCCCAACCCACATGGTGAATCTCTGAGGCAAGAAAATCCTCCAATAAGCACAGGACCCACCAAGATAGAGGAGGAACTTTGTCACACTACATATACTAGTCCTAAGGAAGCACCATCTAATAAAGCAATGATTATATATATAATTACTAATCAAATGATGGATTTTACATTGATGGTCCTTTCCCATGAGTTAGGGCAGTAGGAAGTAAATTGATGATAACCCTTTAGCCCTTCAACCCCAATGAAAGAAAGCGGGGAAAAAAGGAACTAATATCAATAACAACTAGTGCCCATCAGCTTGTTTAGAACAACCATATCAGACGTGAGAGAGCAATACAGAAATTCCATTTGGTCGGATCATTCCATAGATGTCTCCTCTTTTTTTTTTTTTTTTTTTTTTTT